TGTGTCCAGTTTGCGGTGAGGCCAATCTGTTAATCTCTTCCGCCTGCCAACGCAAATAAAAATATATTTATTAAAGGGTCCTTCTAAACTAGGCTTCTCTTTATAATTGGGAAGCTACTAAATTTCGATTTTAGTAGTTTTCAATACGGAAAGGTGTGGCTGCAATACTTTGTTTTTGTCCATGTAAACACATTTTCTATTACCCACAGAGTCATAAAGTAACACTGCACTCTGCTACGAGTTAAATTTCAATAATATTTATTTTTTTCTCATTTCCTCCAATTTCCAATGCCGCGTGGGACGCTGGAGCAGAAAGAACTGTACCGCCTTCTGGAAAAGGTTTGAGGACATAATGAATAACGTCAAGCTGTTTTCTCAATGTCCGGTAACAATCACCAATTTCAACTCCTTGCTGGACGATATGTTCGATCTCATGCAGGGCAAGCTGGCTCAGGTAATTCATGCTTATGTAACTTGTAGGCAGACAAATGTCTAGCGTCAGGCCAGGAGGTTAAGCGAGCTCCGAATTTGGACTCTCCTCCATTAGACTCGAACAATGGTAGCCTCTTCGAGGATGGATATCTCATGGCTTGGGCCTTTTAGAGTCCTTTCCTGTTGTCGGCCTTGGCGAAATCAAGAATCCGGAAATTGTCGAAAGTCATTGCAGAAAGCAAAGATATATAGAGCAAGAAGGTGTGGCCCTCGTTATAGTTAAAGCCCCCTTTCGATTTATAGAAGTGGGTTGACCTAGCCTTAGCAACTTGGTCTTTTTCTCAAGGAGACTTAGTTGATTGCACCTTGTCAAAAGTCCTCTGCCATAATAGTTATCACAATTCCCAGCATCAGACCGTGGACTTGGTACATTCTAAAGTCAGATAATAGTTGTTTTCAAGAAAATAAATTCCTATACGCCTTAATCGAGCTCGGATGAAGAATGCCTTATTCGCATCATCCACTTGGCCCAAATCAGGCAGGGAAATGTCGTAAGTAGAAGGCTACGAGGCAAAAACAGTTGTGGTACCATCCTGAGCCTAGATCATTTTCCCACTCCTCCTCATCCCATCCACAGATTTTACGGCAGATTGACTCCAAAGAAAGTGCCCATGCTTTGTTAGACTACTGGCAGGTCACGCCTGAAGTGAAGAAGGTACAGTGTTGTGTAGTTGAGAAATCGGGTTTCGAAGAGGACACAGCGGTTGGGGTCATTTCACCTCGACTCACGGAGACCCACCTCAAGTCGCCAGCTGCTCAGGTTAAGTTTAATTTCTCCCTCTGAACGTGTCCGGCCCACGACAGACGGAGACTGACAATCCGGCTCTTGGAGGATGCGTTGAGGACTGATGGTATTGCAGCCATGAAGATGTACACATCTCAGATAGTTTGTTACTTCAGTCAACATTAAACCTGCTGTCAGTCTTGCTAAGAATGTCGGCCTTGTTGGAAGGCGACAAGCATTTGTAGTGTTTCAGGCCCGCCAAGAGTGCTTCAGAAGAGGCCAAGAATCTATTTCGCTAAGATTCTTGTCTCGGAAGAACTTTTCCAGAACTACTCGATTCTGCCAACTCGACTGAGGCCTGGGTAACCAGATTGCTGATCGATAGGCTGGCCTGATATCACCGCCCACAGGTAGACGCCTTCAGTGTGTGCATTGCTTTTCCTCGTCCTGTCCTCCAGCCAAGCCCGGTTCAGTTCCCGGACACCTGCTCTACCGAACCCAGAGACTTCTGGCTTCATCTGTCCTGGCAGCTGAAATGTGCGCACACACTTCGCCAACTCTGCTTGACGATGGAGAGCAAGAATCAAGTCACTGATTGGCGTATAAAGTAAAGAATGCTTCATTCAATCTGCAAGTAAACTGGTCCTCAAATCTGGAGACGAACTCGCCAACTAAAGGGTCTGGGATCGAGTGCATAATGAGGACACTTTCTCTCAGAACCGTTCACCTGCCGGCCCCGACACAACATTTCTCGAAGTTGACGCACCCGAGGTTACTGTAAAGGTGTGATTACCACGTGATAGTTAAAGTCCCTCAAATGGCCTCATTTGGCAAGCTAGTGTGGCTGCCATGGACGCCAAGATGGCATAATGGAAGAAAAGTTGGTTTTCGAGAAGTCTCATGGTTTATAAATGTTGGGCTCGCATACATTTTGGGTGAAAATGTACAATGAAAAGATTCCATGGTCGATCTCGCCAGAAAACGATGGTAGACTCGTATTGGCCAGCTGTTGGTTGCTAGAACTCGACGCTGATGCCAAAGTAATTTTATTAGATACCGGCAAATATATGCTAAACTTTTATCAATAATATGACGGACATCATCAGAGCAGGGTAGCATTCAAACAACCATATCCAAGCGAAAGAGTCAAGACAACTCACCGACCCTAAAACTATGCATTTTGATGAGGTATCGAGTGATTTGATTAATTAAAATCATATTTAAAGCTAAAATCATTTGCATGTGTCCGTTTGTGTGTGCTTATGTGTTGGACAAGAAGTATCCGCCGCCGTGTTCTGGTGGGATCGTCCTGCGAAGCTCTTCGCAAAACGCTTTCACTCGAAATGCAAGTGAGCTCACTAAGATAGTGGACACGATAGCTGATGAGGAGGTTCGAATGTCCCTCCGGTTCCATTGACAACAGAACTAGCAACATGCAATTTACTGCTTACAAGCACTACACGAAGCAGCTGCCTCCTGCCCCAACTCAGCGCTATGCTTGATCCGATACTTTGCGAAGCTCTACATGGGAAAGGTAGACGGTTGTAGATGGAGCTGTTTGTCATTTCGTATCAAATTGTGCTGTGTGAAGAAACTCAAAGGCTGATTCACATTGCTCTTTGAGCGTCTCCTCTTTAATCGTTCGACACAGTCTACGAGACATGTGCCTCCTCGGTTGCGGGGCAATCAGGTTGGACATTCGTTTGTCATTCCAATAGCTTGGCATCACACAACTGGATCCCATGCTTACGACAACTGCAAGCTAACACTGAGTACAGCAAACTAATTGTCTCAAAGAGGTGGTTCAAGCTCGTTTTAGTTAATTGTTTGTGTTGTCATGGTGACCACCTTGTCCATAGTCCTTTTCAATAGGATTGATGATAATTTACAGCTTCGGATGTGGACTTAATTAATTCCAAAGCCTACGGCCCGATGCTTATTTATAAAGCCATAGCAGCACGACCAAGTTGCGAAAACAACTCAAGGAGACCACGACTACAACGAAGTCGATTCCATCTTGGGGTCTCATCCCTTTATTTAATATAATAAAAATAATTTACAAGGGGTGTAATGTCTAGCTTGGTGTAAATGCGTAAATGAGTATATATGTCTACATGCGGGTGCTTGTCGAAAAGTGCGTAAAGAGCGTAGCATCTGCCCTACGTCTCTAACATTTTCTAATTGTATTTGGCTCAGGGAAATGCATCATTACGATTGCGTGACATTGAAAGTCTGCATGGTGAAGGTGATGAGCTCTGATGTGAAAACTAAAATGCATGTTATTCGATCCACAGTAGAACACACTGATAGCGTCGTGTTCTATTTGTAGGAAGTTCTACAGTTTCTTTATCATTAAGTGCAAGTGAAGCGAATGCACTCCTCAATCTTTTGATTCAGAGAACCTCTCTTACTATGCGCCTGACGAATGTATTTGGCTGCCTTCAACAAGGACGCAACCTAACCAGCCTCTCTGGTTGTGGCTGCTATTACACTCACCCTTTGTACACATCTGAGTTCGCACAGAAGGCTCGTCAGCCCAAACAGACGGACGTCCTTTCAGTTAAATATCACTCATTGAACCTTAGCGACCTGGGCAGATGGTATGATCTCTCAAGGTTACTATAAACTATCACGGCTGCTTTAATTACAGTACGTGTCCACACATAAAAGTACATGTGCACAGATGGACATTATTATTAACTAAACCAAAGCATTAAATAACTCATCAAAAGTAACTTTGTTAAGCTTATTTATAGGATGTTGGGATAAGCCAGCTAGTCGTCTTGCCTCTAGGCTGACTTGAGGATACAATAAAAGTGCAGTGACGTCTGTAAAGTGCCATGAAAGAAGAAAGCTCAGCACATTTTTAACGCAACCGAAGGATAGTTTCTTATAAGCTGCAGTGGACTGAACTTTCAGGGAAAAATCAACCACAGCAGACAAAGGGGAATTCTTGGTCATCTTTCAGCAAGATGGAGCTACACATCCACGCGAATTAAGAGTTAAAAAAAATATATATAAAACTTTGTGATAACCCCATTTTACATTCATTTTTGGCTGCACATGTGCGCAAGGTAACTAAGATTTGAACTTAGTTGAGAGCGACTAGGTAAATAAATCTATCGATTTAATTTTATTGGGACCTACCGCAACTATAAAACAATTTCATATATATT